ATTTCGATAACCATATAGTAAAGATACTAAATTTACTAACATTGAAAGATAATATATGATTGGCAGTCTTTAAGCTGGAAGAGATTCTGTATGTCATCTTGTTGATCTTCATGATGGTCTACTGAGACTATTTACTCTCACAAAATATTACAAGTAAAGTTCATCATGTTGCTAGAAACCACATTAACTCTGCAGGCATGTCATAAGGGGATTCACCTCAACATTTCTGATAATGCTTGTGAACTCTGATCTTGAAACATTAGGGGTCTATTTACTGAAGCCACATATTTTAAGCAGTATATTGTCAATTTTTGATTAATAAATAAATTTAGTTTCATTAAATACATTCCTCCATGATGAATAATACAAAGAAAGTACAACCATATACATTGATAATTCTACTATTTGTAATTCTAAATTTAAAAGATCAGGAAGAGGGATCTGAAGAGTTTTAGTTGTTTACAGGAAGGACCCAGCCCATTATGGGTGGTGTCATTCCTTGTCTGGTGGTTCTAGGTTCTATAAGAAAATAGGCTTAACAGGTGGTGAGGAATAAGCCAGTGAGCTGCACCCCTCCTTGGCTGCTGCATCAGTTCCTTCCTCTAGATTCCTACCTTGTTTGAGTTCCTGTCCTGACATCCTATAATGATGAACAGTGAAGTAGAAGTATAAGCAAAATAAGGCCTTTCTTCCACAACTTGCTTTTTAGTCATGGTATTTCCTATCAGCAGTAGAAACCCTAACTAAGATACAGGCTATCAGAGTCCATCTTCTAGTTGCCAGAGACACCTATGCATATGTGTGCATACAAGCATAGAGAAAAATTAAATAAAATAAACTAAAAAATAAAAAAATAATAAGGAATATATCATGTATAATATAAACTCTTTATGGAAATACTAAACCAAAGTAATTAAGAATATGCATATATGTACTAAAAAGAAAATGAAAGCCAAGAAATTTTCTTTAAAATTATGGTATGATTAAGACAATATTAAATAGGGGATTTTGAAAATGAATGTCTAAACAGGTGTCTTGTTTAGAATCCAGGAAAGTAATTAATCTATAGATTGGACTGAGGTGTGGTTCCTGAATGCTCATGTTATTTGTTATATCACATACTTTTATATTTGTGCTCTCACAGATGTATATTTTATCAATAGTTAAAGCCTTTCAGCTCTCTGGACCTATCTTTTTATTCTCCTTCACTCTCATTGTCATTATCACACTCAGCTTTTGTTGGGTTATAGATTCATTGCTAATTGGTTACATGGTTTGGACCAGTAGACATTTCACTAGGCTGCATTTTATTTGGGTAAATCTATGTTCTAGTTCTTGATCTGTTTACAAATTTTGTATGAATTATGCCATCTGGTAAATATGACTTGTAATTTTAAAGCTTAAAAATCAATCCATCTATTTGATTTGTCTTTTCAACATACAGTAAAAAAGTAAAAATCAGAGGATTAAGCAGCCTTCAAAAACATTTCTAAATTTATCTTTATCATGGCAGATGTTGCTTTCTCAGGAAATGTTGAATGCAGTATTCTCTGCAGCTACCTGATTTAGCAGGGAGCTTTTGTCTACCCCACAGAGATCTGAGCTAAAATCCTCCATTCAGTTTTTAATCTTACAGCATTTATTCTCTTTCAAGACTTTCCAGTTTGCCAATTCATTGGATTTTGTTTATCACCTTTCTACAAAAGCTCATTTGTTCATTGACAGTTACATTCTAAGTTAAATCCAAAGTAGGGCAAATTAATGAATATTCAAAGTGGCCCCAAGGTTTGTTGTTAGCCTGACAATTCTATCACATCAACCATATGTAAAATCTATCTTCCAGTTAAATGTGGCTGTTTTTGCTGTGTTGGAGATTATTTACTGTGTTGTGCTTTATTAGTCATGATTAACAGGAACTGTTTGATCAAACAAGGCCTTCTCATGTCTGAACTCATACATCAAATAATCTGCTATTGATTTGTCATATTAGAGTTTTATAGCATCACTATTTCTTTATTTCATGTTTCCCATATCATTTGGTGCAAAATAAAAGAGAAAGAGTTGATCAAAAATCAAGACAATACTACAATTTTTTTCTGTATGTACAGAGTGCATTGATGCTCAACTATTGGCCAAAATGAAGAGTATGCTCCTATCTTGTTACAGCAAATGCTGCACAGTGAAGTTTAGAGAGTTTGTTCCTTCCCTTTCTATCTCTTCTGTAAGGATCATCTATCACAAAAACAGGAAGTGAGTCTATGCTGTTTAAATCAAGGCATGAGAAAATAATTAAGCCAAGTTTAGTCACACTGGGGAAAAGATTTTGTTCCCAACTTCATTCCATTCTTCACATGTAACATTTGGCAGTCTTTCTGCCACGGTTCTCTTCTTAACAAGAATGCCTAAATAGTAGCTGTCAATTATCTCCAACATAATGCTTAGTAGTCTACTGTGTCTGTTACCACTCCACTCATAACCTTCTCTATGTATTGGTGAACATTTACAAGTTTGCTCCTCCAAAAATTGTTTTAAACAAAGATTTGTTATTGCTCTTTCCATTACTCAAAACAGTAGCAGGATAAAAGAGTGGGCTAAGTGACAAAGAACACTGTCTGGTCTTCCAGAGGACCTGGGTTCAATTCTGAGCACCTACATGGCAGCTCACAGCCATCGGTAACTTGTGTTCTAGGGGACCTGATCCATCTGATGCATTCTTCTGGCTTCCATGGGGCACCAGGCACACACATGGTTCATAGGCATGTGAGCAGACAAAGCACAAACACACACATGAATAAACAAACAACCTAAGTACCTTCAGTACCACAAATATTCTTTCCAGGTCTCTTCATGGTTAGTATTGTTCTGCTTCATCTCTCAACTAGAACATTGTCTTCATCTCCTACATCTTTTCCTTCTTCACTTCTTCATGTAGCCAAATAGTCAAGGATCATTCAAAATGACACCTTTTAAAATACAACTTCTCCCAATAGGATTTAAAATCCCAATGAGCTTTAGATATTTTCAAAATGTTCCTAAGACTCAGAACAGTTCTCATCTGAGTTCTCAAAGAGGTTCTGCAATTTTCAGTTAATAAATCATTACCAATGGGAGATGATCTTCTATGTGTTTTTCTTATTGGTTGATGAGTAAAACACTGTTTGGCCAATAGAGGTAGGAAAATAGGCAGGAATAGGAGAATTCTGGGAAAGGGAGGCAGAGAGGCACCTTGAAGGGACACCATGTAGCTACAAAAGTAGTAACAGGTCCAAGAATTCTCTGGTAAGGTAAGAACATGTAGAAATACATAGATTAGTAGGTATGAGTTAATAATTAAGACAGAGCTAGCCAATAAGAAGCCCTGGCCATCGGCCAACAGTTTTATAATGAGTACAGCATCCATGTGTTTATTTGGGGCATAGAAAGGCTGAGGGACCTGAGAGGACAGAAAACTCCAGTTACAGATTATTAATGTTTACAACCTAGTAACCAGTTAGTAGAAAATTAATAGTATGGTCTATAATGCTACATGAAATTTGTAAAAGAAATATCTTTCTTTTGCCCTAGTCAATTAAAATGTTCTCATTTGTTCATTAACTAATTTTCATCAGCTTAATACATTTATCCCAAATGTGTAAAATGGGGAAATAATTTTTCAAGATAGAAATAGATTTTTTCATCTAATTTTTACACTGTATTTACAACCTTCTCAGTCCTCCATCTCAAGCCTCCAGCTCTGCCTGAGCTGCCCTTCCAATTCTTGTTGACCTTCCCTTCTTTAATTTTATATATAAAATTATATGTCTTCATATCTCCACTCTGCACAGTTTTCATATATATATATATATATATATATATATATATATAT